ACGTACGTTTGTTTGTTGGTTCACTTGCAGTTTTAGGTTTCATTGCCTGTGTTATGTTACCTTCTTACTGCATTTCCCATTTTTGCAGATTCCACACTTTTTCACTGCAGTCATTGAAACCCGCTTACCTTACCAACACATAACTAATTCTCGCCAAAAGCTATGTAAGTTGGATATTTGTTTTTGTTATCTTCTTGCTTATGCTGTTCATTATTCATTCTCCCTTCATAAAGAGGTCGTTTTATCAAGTCCCACAAGACGATTGCCTAGTTGTATCGCCCCAAAATTTAAATGTTTGCTTATCTTTGCATGTATTCATATATTTTTAAAAATTTTATATAATTTATATTCAACTTAATTTATTCAATTGTATTGGTTTATTCAAGAATCCATATGACAGTATAAGAAATTGCATACAAATCAATCAGGGAAATCATGTTGAATAAAGCCGTTTTAATTTATTAATTTTTAAATTTATTTTCTTAAAGATCTAAGTCATAACAGTCGCGATATTAGCAACAAAAAGAATTATTTAAAGTCCAAAGAATTCCAGTTCGTGGTCATAATAGTAAAAGCAATCCTAATCACTATTCAAGCGAGCCAACTAAATGGCGACTAATTATGTCATAAAACTAATAAGTCTGCTAAAAGTGTTTATGGCGCCAAATTCAATCAAATGTACACCGGTAGTAACTCTCCGTTAATTCGCAGATCCACCTCGTGCTCTTTTTGAGTGATCGGCATTGCGTCGATTCTTCGATCAAATCAAAAAATAGCAGTGCAAATAAACCTCATTGATTTTTATTACGAATAAGAATACGCATAAGGAAGTGGAACGGTAAGCAGACGGGAGTCAATGTCAGTGGAAGTGATACGAAAGACAATAAGTCAACAAATGCGTTGGTTTACTAAAYAAAACACGTCTCATATATCCGCGTGCGCGAGCGCGTGTTCTGGTGTCGGCCGACAAACCGCAGCTTAAGCTAAAAAAGAAGAGTATAGAAGAAAATTCATGAGGAGAGAGAAGGGTGGCATATCGAAAGGTTATCGTTGAACAAAAGAAGCGCAATGAGTCATATTTCTACATTGTAAAATGTACTATAATCAATTTTTTTAAAAATGCACGGGTTTTTATCGACAAGGTCTCTAGCCGATTATTAATTTTTAATAATAAAATAAAATTTTAATTAAACATCCTATTAATTTACACCTCTGATTGTGCGCAATAGTGTTTGAGAAACTTTAGAAGATCTTTGACATGTTGTGCCATCCCCAATAAATTTTTGCGCAACATGCCCGTTTAATGTGTTAGCAGCCGTYTAAGCAACAACTGATCGCCTAAGCTTATATACAAGTACATAGGTATATTTTAGTGAACATTTAATCATTATTATATCAATTATTAGACAGTAATAAACGCCAAAAGGTTGGAATGTAAAACGACAAATTTGGAAAGTCTAAATTCATTGTAGTTATTACAGTTATCTTATYTTTGCTTCTTTGTGCTTTTAACTTTCCCATAGAAAATAAAACAAGGGGTCACCATTGTAAACAAAATAAATTTTGTCGGTTGACACGGTTGAGCGCAAAAAAATTTGTTGGTTGTATTTTTCAATATCGCTTTTAGGTATTCCTCTGAATGGCTAATTGAAAATTCGTCACAATAAAAAAGGAGTTACCTACTTGGAAAAATCAAAAGAAACTATGATATTTTGCTAAATTTATCATTCAATGCAACAACAAAATGTTGAATACAAAAATTTATTTAAACAAAAACTATGATCCGAATATTATGTTATCTTTTTACTTACATACTACATACATATGTACATACATTTGTATGGAAATAGCCGAATAGGTAAACGAGCAAGACAGTTCATTTGTTAGCCACATAATATACTTACATAGTAATGTATAAATGTAGAAGAGCTTGGTTCGACGCCTTATCACGTGAGCCCTTAAGTATGTAAAATTTAACATTCGACAACTGCAACATGCAACCGGGGAGAATATCTGCCGCTTGCATTGTGGAACTTGAAACTGATGAGTCAGACGTTTAACTCCTCAGATCGCGCAATATACCTCAAAATTTAGCAACTCCACAATGCTTTGTGGCAGACATGGCAAGCGTTGTGTATACCGAAAGCTTTACTCGWGCGCTTACGGATGCCTTAAATATTACGGTTACTTGAGTAAAAAACTGGTTTACCAATAAAGCAAAAACGAATATTGTTGCTATTCAAAGCAGTCCGTCGCATCGTTTTATAACTGTTGTATTGCAATTATGAAGGGCAAGACGAAAGTGTAATGTCTAATTTTTTATGCTGAATTTGTTTATTTAATATTCAGATAAATAAATGCTTATACTATAGAAATTGTGTACCAAACAAAACTTCATTACCAACGATGCTTTATTCTTAATGATTTTACCATAAGTACTAGACGGCAATATATTAGGAAAATGTTTTTACTAAASAAAAATATATATTTTTTTAGTTCAGTTAAAGAAAATAAAACATTAGAAATAAACGATGTATTACACATGTATGCAAGTACTGACATAAACAAAATGAGATCATACTAAAATTAAAAAATACACATAAACTGATGAATCGTAGGTATTATGATTAATAAAACAAATTACTCTTTAATGATGAATTTCATGAAAATTATTGTTTCGTAAAACCAAGAAAGCAAACCAGCTAAAAACTAAAAGAGCAACAAAAACAGAGAGGTGAACACATTAGAAAAAGGGCGTGTAAGGAAGAGCTGAATAAAAGAGGAGGCGAAAAGGTCCTTAAAAATATCACATAGATATATTTGTACGTATGTTAGTATATACATATGCATACTTTCTGTTTAGAACCAGAGAGACTGAGACACATGCGCGGTGCGGCGTCAGCTCTGATAATAAATATACATTCATATATTCGTCACACAAACCAGGTAATGGACACACACTTTTATCTGTTTTTGATTCTTTGCGATACGGATTTTTCGCTTTAAACAACATGAAAAAAATGATTTTAATTAAAAGTTTGAACCGAGAGAAGTGGCAATAAATTTTTGTATGGAGGAATGCAAGTAAATTCTTTTTATTTTAAATATTGCAATAATAATTATGTAATATAACTTGTGTAGTGTAAAAATAATATGTACTTTAGCTTTTAATAAGTGTTCATCAAATTTTTGTGTATATTTATGAACTTACCATATCATTTTCTTTAATCCTTTATAATCATATGTATAGGGGTAGCATATATTTTTGATAATATAAGCAAATCTAACGACTTCTTCTAAAATTCCTCACTTCAAACTTTTTATTTGAACGTAAGGGAGCTAAAAAGATCTCTTGTAGTATGTTTTACACCAAACACCACACAAATAATTTATTTACCTTTTCAACACAATTTTTTCATTTGAAACACATTTGTGTAAATTTCAATTTTCACAACTTTTTCATATCTCGTATTTGTATTTTAGCACTTTTTATTTTGTATTTCAAACTGAACTTAAATGTTTGTCGTTGCTTTTATAGACTTATATCCATCTTTTATTCTCTTAGAATTCTTTAGTTATATGTCTTTTGGAAGTTGACTATGCGCACCCATCAACATCATCCACTGTGCCACTGCTGCTGATTTGCGCTAATGTCACAAAAAAAAAATTTAAAAATTGGAATGAAAAAAACCCAACCCGATTGCACCAAGTGCTTATTCGGCTCGCAAATAACACACCCTATCCTTCCGTTAATACATTTTAACAAATTTGCACATTTCACTGCTTATAACAGAACACTGCTGGCATATTCATCACAGCTCGCTGAAATATTTAACTTTAACTTAAAATGCACAACCAGCAAAGGGAAGTACTTATTAGAAGTTTTATACACAGAAAAGGGCGAATTTTCTCTTCGCCGCAACCTGTGCAAAAGTTCGCTCTCTTCCTTCACCCACACCCTCAACACATTATAAAATACACGTTCCTATTCCTTTCGTTCCCTTTAACACTTCTCACTGTTCTCCACGATAACTTTATTGCTATTTTTTATTCCTGCTGGCAGGAAATTTGCGCTATAGATATATAGATAGATACTGCTTTTCTATAAAACATTGTCGAACAGAAGTCCATCTATTACCACAAATCAAAAATAAATKTACGAAAATAAAACATTCTAAATAATGCAGTTGAGAATGTTTTTTAATAGTTTAAGGAAGTGCTGAAGCCATGGTGTCACTTTATCTTCTTGTTTCTGCCTGGTACTGTGGTTTGTGCTGCCAACGCCGCTTTGTTTGGACTAGTCAATTCGTAGGGGTACACATTTACATATATGCACAACGTTTTCAATGTGTTTGTGTCTGCTATAGTACTGCACCGCCTATTTCCCCAATTCTTTTACGAATGAAAGGAAAATATTTTGGCTTGCTACACAGACATAAGATTATCACTTGTACTTTGCAATCACTTAACAACTTTTCCGATTTCTTTTAAATATTTTTTATTTAAAATAATGCAAAAATCTTAACCGAAACCAAATTTCCTTCCGTCAYTAATACAAACCGCTCCACCGCTGTCAACCGCAATATATCCAGAAGCAATTGATGCAACTAGGGTTGTAAAATTCATCATTTTCTGTACCCACACAGGGTTTCACAAATAAGTACTAACTGACTACATGGTTGCATTTACAGACACTTCTCGCTTTTTAACAAATATTTAATTCTTCTTTCACATAAAAGTAATTAATGAAAACTTCGCAAACATTCAAAATTATAACAACATATTTTGCTAGAACTCGATGTAGTCAAAGAAGCGAGCAAGTGCACTTACTGACCTAAGGTCAATATGTCAGACACTTGTTCAATCAGATTGCGCAAACCGAGTATGAGGTACCAACTTCGTTTTACATTTATAACGTACTCTCCATTTTCTATATTACGAACAGTTCTTCACTTTTCATTAATGAAACAACACGACATAAATATATGAGTAGAAATGTGTTACTATAAAGTAAAATTTTTTTATTTACTTATATTTATTTACAAAAAAATAATATTTCTATGATTTTGTTATCATATGTTGCCTTTTTGGTAATGGTTAAACATCTAGCATACTGCTCATGACTTTAGCAACAATTATTATTAAAATTTCTCACAGTTCGAATTATATTAGTTAGTCGCAATCTCTACACAACGGCCTTTTCTTTTTTTTTATATATGTATACTAATAAATGTCTCCATTTCTATTTTAGGTTTTTAAATTAGGTTGCACACAAATAATACTAAAGTTCTTGTTGCATATGCACGTGTTTATACACGAATCTACAACAAAACTATAAAATAAAAGGCATCCAGTAGCTTGTGAGCCACTTCTGAGTACATCCGGGCGGCTTGATTCTTGACTGAAAGTCCTTAAATACTGCAGGATATATATGCATTTTCTGGGGGGAAATAAGAGAGGCCAATGTTTAAAACATTTCAAAGCCTTTAAAAGTCTTCGTTACGATAAGTCTCGATAAATTGTTTTGCAAGCACGGGTAGTTCAGGTGCGCGGCAAAGAAACTTATGTCCGTAACCTGCAACACCATTGAAACGATGGAATTCAACAGGCCCCCAAGTTTTTGCCCGCGTATCCAGCGCTGTTCGGTATAGCTTGTAGCCAAGTTCGAATGGAACAACATAATCATCTTCYGCATGGAGTATCATTACCGGCTGCCGAAATTCGCTAATATGCTTGTCCGATTCAAAGCGCAACTTGTTCGAGTACATAGGGCGCGCAATTGTCAAATCAAACCAAGGCAGATCTTTAAAGGGCTGTAAAAAATRTAACAGTTTTAAAGCTAATCAACATATGTATATTGACTATCTAACCCTAGCGAATGGATGCAATCTTATTTCATCACGGATGTTYGTAAAAGGCGCCTCCAATATCACTCCCCGCGGTAGATCCATTTTGAAATTCAAATTTAACTGTGAACACAAATGACATGCCACGCCAGTGCCMAGAGAATGTCCCCATATGAATATAGGATTTGTTGTTACATTTCTAATATATTCATATACTGTTAGGGCATCTCGCACAATTCCTTCTTCGGTGGGTGAAACGGGGTCGGAATCTCCATAACCTCGATAATCCAAAGTCAGTACATGGCAGCCAAGTTTGCGCAGAAGTTGGTACATCTCGACACGATGCCCCGAGCCACGAGAAGCGGTGTTGCCATGAAGATATAAAACAATGGTGCTCGGAAGCTTCAGCATGCGCTCGTAAAAGAGCGCTTCATTCTCAGCGGTTACATCGGAGAATTCTGATTTCAGAATAGGCTCTAGCTTGTCCAAACTTTCATCATTTTCAAATGTTGTATTCTTCAATTCATCATGCTGTTGCTGTACGATAATAGGATTTTATACAAATTTCTGCCCATAATTTTTAATAATAATCAGTATACCGTATCGATTTTTAGTTCTTTAGCAAAGCGTTTAGCTAGGTGTAAAGGCAGCACATGCCAGACACCAATGCGCACGCCATCATGACGTTCCTCAACATCCGGATCGAGCACGCTAAGATTTAGAGATCTCGTACCAAAAAGTCCCACACTGGCTGGTTTCGATAAGTCAAGGTCCTTGGGGTATGTAACTACAAACGAATTTAATATTTTCGTTTTAATAAAGTTATTTGAAAAATAATATATATAGATTACTATTCATTAAAATTGCGAAATTGTGTAACATGAATAGTGCTTTTGAATTTAAATAATTTCAAAGTGAAAATATTCAAATACTTACTAAACGTGAGAAAGAGAATCCCTCTTTGTAATGTTATAGAATAACGAAATATTAATGGGAATCCAACGAATATTATTAGGAATACAAGCATACATAATTGTACCACAGTAAGCGAGATTCTGTAGAATAAAGAGGAGAGGTTAGAGTAAATTTATAATCGCAGCTTATTGAATGGCAAACACCTCAATGTTACACATAAGGAATACTTACTGATGCGTGTATCAGAGTAACAAATAAAGTAAGAATGATTAACAAATAATTTATTCGCTAACTGTAGAATGAATAAAAGGATATCATTTAATCGTAGACTGAATGGTGCACGACAATTACATAGTATATCAAAATTGTAATGAGATATTTCGTACAAATATTTCGTGTCAAGCAAAATGTGAAATATTCAGTAGAGGCACGAGGAATATACACGATTTTACTAATATCAATTGCCTGAATTAGTACATAGCCGTGCGAATACTGTACATGCATACACATTTTACAAAGCGATGTGGAAAAATAAGGAATAATAATAGCACATTTCATAGGTTAACTTTGGCAATTAACAAAATAGATATAAAGTTTTGAGAAAAAACATATAAAATATTACTTGTAACGGAKAACATTAGTTAGAAATTAAAAATCAAAATATATATGTATGTATGTATCTAAATGTATAAAGAAGTAGCGTACTTACATCCCAGTCAGCCAAATTAACATTAATGCTCCCGGAATGACTGAAGCACGGAATATGACGTTTAAGAATTTATATGATTCGTACATTGTAAAAAAGTTTGCATATATTTGTAAATTGTAAAATGAAGTTGTAGGAGGATTATCAATCAATGGTTGAAAATCTTTATTCAATGACATCAATTTTCATAGATTTRGTGAACGTTTCAATGCAAACCCAACATTTAACTTGAGGAAGAACGATATTACAGCCAAATTTAGCAATGACTGCTATAGCACACAAAATAAAAAAGTTTTAAATAGAGGACTTTGGGAATCACAGTTGTTTTCAAAAATTTCGACTATTTGGATTAAATATGCGGATGTGCTTGTTATATACGTCAAACTGTAAGCGAGTGATTATTTGATTGAAGAAATGGGAGTATGGTTTTTTTTTTTTTTCAATTCTTTCGTTATTCAAAAAGTTAATGAGCATTTGTCTTGTAAGTGCAGACAATCGTACTGCGCCTGTCAGCAATTTTTACTATGCGGATGGATTCAACATGGAAAAGAGAAAAAAGATAATTGTTTTATTAGCAATCTCTATTACATTGGAGGAAAAAAAACTGGAATTAATTAAAATTTATTAAAATGAAAAGTTAATATAGGTTTTAACATGTAATAATATTAGAACAATAAGCGTGAACAAAAATAAAATATGTAAATACATTTCAACCCACAAATTGGGAATGTTGTTAYTAAATACATTAATTAACAGAACCCAAAGCAAACACCCATCAGTATATAATTGAAAAACAACTGTTATAAGTTATTAATTTGAACTAGCTGCATAAATTATTTGTAACTATCGTGAAAATTTTAATTAATTCTTGTTAAAGCCTTCGATAGAAGAGCAAACAATTAAGAAACCTATTGATTGCAGCAACTTTGAGATTACATAGTGAATATTTTCTTTATTTTTGTATTTAGCCTACAGTGCTATCTAGTATCTTATGTTTAATATTGCCTCCTTTGAATTTTACAAAATTACTTATAATATACCTGCGMTGCAGCATTTTTCATTCACTTAGCATTATGGCAACGCAAATCGAAATTAGAAAATAAATAATTATAAGGTTTACATGTATGAAGTGATTTGTTGAACCATACTAATTATTGAATGGTCACGTCTAGGAACACAATGTCTTGAATGTTATTWTTACTATTTTACAAATAAATTTTTAACAATGAAATAATACCAACACAAAAGGTATTTTAGTGGAATTGGGTTTTAAATTTATATCATAGGGAGGATTATATGATCTGCACTGACATATGTAAATATTATAATAATTATGTTTTTTTATTAATTCGCCTGTGTGAATTACTGTAGCACACATATAATAATGTGACAGTCACCTTTTAGATAACTTCCGTCGACGCGTTAAAAACATAACTAGAAATAGAAAATTAAGAAATTCTTGAGTTAAATATTATTAAATTATTTAGTATAAGTTTACAACTAGAAAACAATAAAGTACGTTAAAGTGCTTTTATTTTAAAAACCGTTTCGAATTTCCTTTATGCACACATACAACCATAAGTGTCAACGGCAATGAACTCAAACATAATATATTGTATGTATGTAGGCATGTAATACTTATTCAAATAGATTCCCACTAGATACCATTATTTTTAAGTTCTAATCAGTAGTCATGTAGCTTTAGGATTACATTTGTAGAAAACCTTACTATTACTTCGTATACATAAAAACAATTTAATTCGCACTGGTACTACAACTTTAAAATATTTTCTCCGACATTTTTTGTAAAAGAAATTTTTTTGAATCGATCCAGCAATAGAGAATGTTGTCCGACTTGCCTAACCAAATAATCTTCCAACACCAGGTATATGGAGTTATATATATTAATTTGTAGTTCACAACAAGTGACTCAGTGAGCTTATCACAATTTATCAAAATATCAGCATAGATGATACAATCGCTCAAAATTTGGCAACTCATAGGCGCAAATACATAACTAGATAACTAGATATGTATATACTAGYATTATGTAAACAACATATCACAATAATCAAAGCGCCTATAAATCATTTTACAGTGAAAGTGGAATGATATTTTTACTGTACACAGAAATCACAGCAAATAAACAGTCAGAATGTATAATATTTATTAATTGGCAAAATGTATGCGCACAAATGACGGTGCAACTAACGCTTTATTTATATACAATTACACAATACATTTGGTTGTGTGGTGGTAAGCGCTTAACGATTGGATTAAAGTTCGTCGCAGCGTATTTCGACAATATTTACGTAGAAATAAACCGAGGAGCGGTGTGCTCAGCTCCAAAGACCGCTTCCGACTTGCGAGTAGTTTCGTCATCCAACACTGTTAGCAGATAGACAAAACAAGCTACATGACAATGTGTAGTGAGATTCGAGAGCAACAATAATTATGAATAAAATGTTCTCTTTGTATTCAGTCTCCGCCACTATTATCATTAATGTACTCAGAAAAAAGTACTCAAGTAGATTTTATTTGCTTTCAACAAAGAYGAGTGCGATAGGAAATTCGAAAGTGAAAAGAAGTTTTTCGCTGATAACAAACGCATAGTTAACTTGCGAATAATATAAGAAAATGTCAATGCCATTTATTCAACTTTAGACTATAAGATCAAACATGTCTTATTAAATAATACTTTTCATACTTTAATTGAAAAAGATCGAAAACAGGAGTAGCAGCATTAAAGAATTGAGTTCAAAATTATTACTAGAAAAAAATTTGCCCAATAAGTTCGATGAATAATGCCGACTCTAGCGACTGGAATCTAAATAACCGTTAAAACAGCAACAGTAACATTGGAATCTTTGCCCGTATATAATATCCGTATAACTAGATTCAAGYTACGAAAGAACAAAATTGATATTCTAAGAAACGGGGTCAATCCATGTCAAGTGGTTACAATCAATTATGTACATATACATACATTTGAAAGAAAGTTTAGTAATAATTTTGTCAGCTGTGGATCCTTAATACCGTACGATTTTGTTTCCTTTTAAGAATAAAACTTCTAACAATTATAATAAACAGTTTTAAATATGAAATAAAAATATTACCCATTGATAAATAATGGTGATAAATATTTTGAGCTCAGGCAAATGGCTTAAATCCGATTGATTTAATAGTTTTACAGCGATTTTTCAATACCATTAATCTAAAAATAAAAAGAAGTTATAGAAATGTTATAAGTATTTGGTCAATCAAAGTAAGCTGGTTAGAAGGTAATGGTCAATCTACTGGATGCGGCAGCAGAATCTGCAACTGCAGCAGGGCATATATAGCAATTTATTGAAAGTAAACTTATAAAAAAGTTGAGAAAAAAGAAGAGTTGAATAAAAACCAGCACGGGAAAAGTATATAAACATATGTGGCTAATAGTACTAAATGATCACATATGTATGTATGAATTCACAAAATTTCACATGGGAACAAATCACTATCGATTTTGATTTCTTCATTCTCTTGTTGAAAACATTTTCATGTTTACTTACTTTTTCAGCAATATTTGTATTTACATTTTCTTTAAATTTTTTTATATAATTTATCACTAAGAATTTTTCAATTTGTATCGTGCAAATAGCAATCTCAGCAATTAACGCAGAAATTTGGTCTTAAACGTTACCAAAAAATTATCGCACTTGTTTCATCAGTTGTCAAATGTAAGGGTTGCCGTGTTTGTTTACTGGCGATGTTCATAGCCTAACTTTTATGCACAATGTTTGGACTACGCTAAGAACAAATAGCTTGCACAAACTATGTCGACTTGCACAAGCTATCGCAAAAATTGTTGAAACTGTTATACAAAAACTTATACAGTGCGTGGATATAAGTATATCGTCACCTGAAATGCAAAATAACGTATCATCAAAAAATTCMAAATTGAGTGCCTTATTGATTACGCTTCATTACTTCAAATTGCATACATAATATTACATATGTTCAACATTTTCAGGTTCTGTGCTCAGATATAAACCAGTTTTAACCAACATTAAAATTTTGTTTCACTCATGTTCTATTTTATTTCGCGTTTTATTTTGCATTCAAAATGACAATATATAAGTTTCGTACAAACATTTTGTTATTCCTTCTACAATGCTATAACAACAACAAAAAACCCAAATTTCGAAATTTGTTAAAACAGATTCAATTACTTATTTCATGCCACATGCATGAATTAGAGCTTTTGTTGCAAGCTCGTGGCATTTCGCGTTTATTTTGAGCCTGATTGGTGTGTTTTTATGTAGTTGACCGCTGTGTTTGCATTGCAAACTAAAATCTTTTTGATGTGCAATAACTCAAAAATCGAAACGAGGTCAAGATTCAGTAGTGTACGGTGTGCTGCTGATTGTCGAACGTAAAAACAACAACAACAAGATAATTCAGTGACGTTTAATTAACGAAAGAGACCCATGAGACTACGGATATGACCATCTGCAGAGGGGACGCACAAAGGTGAATATAGTGATATTAGGGAATTGATACATTTATGGACTTGTACTGACAGTACACCCGTTCTAAATAACGATGATAAATTCACAAATGCCAATATTTACTACCATACCATACATAATGAGCAGCCTGACAGGAGATATTTAAACGATTTTTATCCGTCCAATGACTGCCAACTCAGCCAAATTTCCACAAATTACTTCAGGATTGTTTTCTGCCACTACAATAACAAGCAACTATATAGCATTTTCCTTAACTAATCCCGTTTTTATCAAGCGTGTTCTGACCAAAGTTCCTTCGTAAGCTTCCGAGGTCAATACTTACGTATAGTAATAAATCGAAAAACTTTTTTGTATAAATCTGTCGATAAGTTGTCGTMCTCTTACCGTAAAAGCGATAACTTTGTTTATTTATCAAACGTTCAATTTGCTCTGATGTACATACATACATATATTCGCATATATGTAAGTATGATTTTGTATGCTTGTTTGTATACAACTGGTCTAATGTTGCGATTTCGCTATTCATTTCTCAGCTTCGCCGTCTAGTCACATCGCACCTAGTTCTTGGGAAAATCACACAAAGTTCAACATCGGCACGATTTATCGTTTTACTTGTGCGATATTTGCCAGTTTTCCCGCCGTTCGGTGTGGATGGGCGCTTTGCTTTTGGWTTTCCTTGGAAGCGCCCTTGCCAAACGTGTTAAGCGAATCTTCAAAAATTCAGTTGCCGCCGTTGGAAATTTACCACCCTTCCCAGAAGTACTGTGCATTATTGGTAGCTTTACTTGCATGCATTAGTATGTGCAATATAAACACAAATTAAGCAGTCAATTAAATTGAAAAAAAAGTCTYTAATATACTACGCTGTAAACTCCAATCAATACACGAAGCTCAATTTTTTATTTTAGTTTTTTCCGTCCCACTGCAAAGAGGAGGTAATTATCAAAGCGTTATGGTAGGTATTAGTTGAAGAGATAAAAATAAAATTTGCAATGACAATCACATAACCACAAGCGCCGATCGACGATCGGCGATGTAAATACGTGTAACTTGCTTTTCCAGTGCAGGGGACTCTTCGACGCTTAGTCTTTGGCCGTGCAGATCTACTGTGTTAGTTCTAATCGTATTATGCAAACGAAATAATTTATTCAGTAAACGCTTTTTGCAAATTGCTTTTAAAGGTGTCTAAATAGTAATTTCTTCACCATGAGCTTAGTGAACTCAGGTACCGTATCTCGTCAAATAGTCGATAGACGACGATGTGCGGCCAATAATAGGCGCCATTCGATTATTTGTGCGCTGCATATAAATACATTGACTTTTTTCCAGCAATTGCCATGCAGTTACTTGTTTATCGCGTTGAAARAATTCAAACGCTTGTCTGCCGGATTCAGTGCCATTTCTTAGCACCGCATTCTGAGCACAATGAGCATACAAATCAAAGGACTTAAGACACGAACTTCTTGGCAAACAGAACAGATTATCATGCTTATATACACACGTATGTAGGGAGATTGTTCGCGGTTTTTGGAATTGGAGCAAGTTGAAATAAATTAAGAAAAAAATTAAAAATTGTTTTTCCTTAACTTCTAGACATCTTCACTTTTCCGGGAATGTAAATATAACTTGGTTTATTAAAATTGTGTAGCAATATTCCTTTWTTGGAGACTTTAAACTTGTCAAGGTAACTATTATCTGGCTTTATTGGATGTTAATTTCTCTTTTGAGCACGATGGGATCCCATTACTTTTTCGGCGCCAAACAAGAGTTCGTCCACCGAGCTACAGAAATGGAGGCCAAAAAGCACATCTGTCAGCTAAACAGCTTGTAGCTATATTATGACAAGCTACGCTTACAGACAAATTGATAAGAGTTTACTAAGATAAGAAAGTGATTATTTGCCATTCAATTAATACAAATTTGTATTATTTTGGGATCTGCAGATCTTCGACCCGTCAAAGAAATGTCCTTAAAACGTACACTGTGTTCATCATCAAAAGGGTGAGCATCTCAACAGAGCTTTAGCGGGACTCTGCCATACAACTGCACTAGTTTTGGGCTTAGCTATAAAAACAAACATACATACATACGAACATATATTTTGGTGCTATACTGCTTCTATGATTTCTTAATTCCACGGTCTAAGCTTCCAGATTAATATCGAATGTCTTTCGAAGATTACAGACAGACAAAAATAAAGGCCAACAGTACATTTTGCCGTAAGCAAATGTTTGCCAAATCGGGCAACTGAGTGGTGGTTGTACTCGCTTATTACGATTAAGTAAACAATAACTTCATTGACATCAATAAATACAAAATATAGAGCGTGGGAAATCCACAAATTCACACATTCATTCTCAGCTCCCAGGCAATGCAGATAACGTCGCTCGACAGCGGTAACGACGACAATTTCAATTAAAATTTAAATAAATTCGGACTTTCCAATAAAAACATGTACAACTAGTACATCACTACTGATTTCTGATCACTACTTGTTCTGATGGGTTAGTGGCCAAAAATGGCGATGGATGTGAATAAAATTGGAGCACGCTGCTTTCYTACGCCGCTTTGTTTGGCTAAGCTCTATGACGGCGGGCCTGCAGCGAGCGTAAGAGTTGCCACCACAATGGATTAGTTCACTTGTGGACGGTCGCAAGCTCACTCGCGTACACATGTACATATGTATGTATATAGGTGTGTACACACATCACACGTTTGGAATTGTAGGTTTATGCCGCAAACGAAGGCAGATGAATGGACTCGACTGGCCGTACACATTTAACGGTGATACGGTGATGCTGTGAAGAGTGCGCCACATGCGTTTAATGCCGAATTGACAGAGACAACAAAATCGTGCAGAGCGTCTTTGGATGCATAAGGCGAGTATGACAAAAATAACTGACCAAAAACAAATAGAAAATCAATGTGCTTTGCTTGAACACAATTTGAACAATGAACGGTGGCAGTATGTACATACATACATACATACATAAATGACTGATCAAGCATCAGTGATCAACCTGTCAACCTATGCAAACATTTTTAGACTAACGAAGCGTGGTAAAACGCTCGTGAATGCGTTGGTGTTATCAAAAAATGGAATGAACATGCGTGCATACACACGAACATATTCGCTGTTCCACGACTGTTAATAATGAAATGAATAAAGACCGCGAACATGACAATCCTGACCAGAGCCAGCCAGCCAATGCAATCAGTCAATTAAATGCTCAAATCGCCTTTAGATGAAATGCCGCAAGAAAAACAGCGCAACAGAGTTAGTCTCACGTGCATATATGTATATATACATATACATACATAAATATATATGATATATATAATATATGCATGTACTAGTGTATTTTAAAAACTACAAATGAATATTCGAATTTCATTGAAATGTACTCCTTAATGATATAAATTAAATGTATATTTTCAAAAATTAAGATTTGGAATAGTAAAACAGGCTTATCGAACATATGTACATATATGCATTTATCATACCGCATAAGCTATCAGAAAGCGATCGGCATATGATCTTTGGAATGGTTAATAAAAAAACAGTACATAATGTGGTTGTGTGTGCGCAATTCGTAAGCCTTAATTGTGTGTGAAAATATTTTATTTCAACGGCATTCGTCAAATATATCACCCCCAACAAATTGTACATATGAATGCATGTAGCTATGTATGTATGTATACACACACAACAGACAAATATTTAGTGAAGAGCGGCGCAATCACCAACCAACAGCAACAGGAACACCAATACACTCAACGTCAGCTTGGCGCTTTCGTTTCGTTCGTTGTCGTCGTACCAAATGAGGCGAGCTCAAACTTGTMGTCATTTGGCGTAGCTCCACCTTAAGCAACGGTAAAGTAATCAACCGATCAGTGGACAGCAATAACAGTGCTGTAACAGCGTCGGAAGCAAACAACAAAAGCAAAAACACAATGACAACAGCTGCTGGTAGTTCTTGACTGCCGACGGCTCGCCGGCTCACATAAGACCTCAAAGCGGATGCTAAAGTCTCTGTTTACCACTGCACTGCAACGCGAATACGTAGTATGTACATATGTACGTAGCACCTGTGTAYGTATGTATATACGTAAATACTTATGATTAAAGCAAAATGAACACAAACAACAACAACAAGAGTTGGAAAAGATGTG